CATCCAGCTCCACACCGTGTTATAACAATGGCTTGATGTTCAGATGTGGGGTCATTGTTCTTGTGGAGGTAGGAAGAATGTCCGAGAGTTGGTGTCCTCTGCAATGTAAAAATCGGTGCATCGGACTACAACGGCACTACCTTTGTCGGCCGGTTTGATGACAAAGTTAGGATTGAACCTGTAACTATGTTCATCAATGGAACCCTTCTTAACAAAAGCAATATTTTAGGGAACAAGAGTTAAATCTGTGAAAGTGAGCTCCCCTGGAAGATGGTATACGTGGACAGTGTTGATTCATTCAAGTACATATCAAAATTCTTTTGATACTATTTTGCAATACACTCTATAAATAATTGGGGGTAAGGAGATGTGGTAATGTAGCATGCTGGGACAGAACAAGTGACTTTCAAACTATGGTCGTCAAAGCTGTCCTCAGTGAAGGTTTTCTGCATGTCATTTTGGGTCTGTAATGGATGAAATGATAATGATGATGGCTATGAATAGTTAACATCTCCATTACCAACTTTTCATCTGTCTTGTTAACTATATGGACCTTCCTTGTTTTCATTATTTCGCAACCTCTATATTTAAAACCAGCTAACTATTGCAGCAAAACATGGACTATAAATTTTATCAGTGTAAAGCACATTACGCCCCAAATCAAAAACTTGGACTGCGATATTTTAAACACTTTTGATAAATATCTGTAACTCTTTCTGCTGGGTTTTACTTAGTCCCATTTGCAGTTTTTTTTGTAAGTTCAATGAACATTCCATCCTATGCATGGACATGAGATGTTAAAATTAAGTCCCACATGCAGTAACAATTGGACACCAGTGAGCCATATAATATTATTCCTGAAGTGAGTTCAAGCAGTTGTGGTCAGCAATTACCTGAAAACGTGTAGTTTCCAAGAAATACCATTTAAAAAAAAAATTGTTGTAATTTCATTGACCATTTTTAAAAAAAATCTAGATATCTCTTATATCCATCAAACTCAACTCTGCAATAATTATTAAATTTGAAATCAACATAATAGGATGGCAGAATCGAAGTACAAGGCGAGACTGAATCGGTTAGGACTATATTCCAACTATATTCTGCCATCCAAGACTGTGGCACTGACGAGGTAGGCTGTGTTTTGGGCTCCGGGCCTGTCTGCTCCAGACAGCCACTTTTTCCCTCCTTTCCTTATCCTTTTTGTCGTCTTCATCTTCTTCCGGTCTGTGGTGGAGAAGCAACATCATGGAGGAGAGCAGTTGGGGGCGGGACTCTTGGGAAGGCAGCTGCCTGGCCTGGCAGCGGAACCAGGAATCTCGGGCTGCAGCAGAGTAAAGACTCCTTTATCGGCGAGGCGATGGCAGCAGTGGAGTCGGGAGCTCCGAGCGTGGGTCCAACATGGGACCCGCCAATGGTGGCCCCGTTGGTCGTGTGGACCCAGCGACGAAGAGAAAGGCGCCTGAAGAGTAGCGACTCTGACGTTGGTGGGCAGAGGGGTGGTGGCACAGATGTCATCGGTCAGCTGGCTCAGGAATCATGGTGGAGGCAACAGAACGAAGATGGGCTTTCTTTCAGCTTCATCTTTTTATTTTTGAAATATTCAAATGGCTTGGTATTGTGGTGATAGCTGAAGCTTCTCACTGTATTTTAGTGTGTTGTTCATAGTAGAGTACATGTGGCAATAAATCATTCATTCATTCATTCATATTCTGGTATGAAGAGGAATGAAGGGGAATCTCAGAGGAACTTATAAAATTGTGCCAGAACTAGACAGGATAAATGCAGGAAGGATGTTCCTAATGACCAGAGAATCCATAACCAGGAATTGCAATTTAAGGATATAAGATGGGTCATTCAAGACTGAAATGAGGAGATATGCCTTCAGCCAAAGAGTGTTGAGCCTCTGAAACTATCACAGGTTTACAATTCTGGAGATCCATCCTGAAAGCATTATGGGTCTGTCTACACCAAAAGGACTGTAGCAGTTCAAGAAGATAGTTGGCTACTCACCTTTTCAAGGGTAACTAAGGATGGGCAAAAATTGTTGGTCCAACTAGCATGGCCCACATCCTGGGACTGAATTAAAAAGGAAGTCAGGGAGTGACCACTTGATGCAATTCTGAATTCTCCATTTTCACCTTGAAGGAAACATCCAGAAAGTTCCCTTGAAGTCGAGGTTCTGATTTTTTTTCATTCTCGCTGACCGTTTTCCCATTTTTCACCATTGCTCACATCACACAAGAGGAGAAAATTCACCCTGTTACTTTTAAGTCAAGATTGAAAATATTTTTTGGACAATATATTAGCATATTTATATGCAGTAGTTCACATCTCCCAGATGAAAGTAAGACATGGAAATTCTTAATATGGAAAGTAAAACTTCAATGTTGAGGTAAATCTCCATTATTACATTGTACAGACAGGATAGCAATGTCAAATAGGCTAAATCAAATTCATAGCTAAAAGATTCAATGGTAAACTTTAATGTAGTCAGTTTATTATGATTTTATTGCCCCCATATGCAGAAAAATTAACATTAATTCATCTAATTTTGACAGTAGCTGCCTACCCTACAAAGCTTAGTGGCACTTAAGTCCCATAATTCTATTTGAATAATGATTATTTGATAACTGCTGTCATGGTAACAGCTTTTATGCTACATATTTATTTCAATAGTACTGTAAATGTAATTTCTGCATTTAGTGTAGGCTCAATGTGTGATTCATAGTGAGCTGCCAAAATGTCTTTATTCAGTGATTGAATTCACAATCCTTGGGTGGAGAATTTCATAGATTTACAACCCTTTGAATGAAGTAATTTCACCACAGTACTAAATGATCAACCCTTTGATCTAAAACTGTACCCTATTGATTCCTATACCCTACTAGATTCCCCAAACATTGGAAACAGTCTCTCAGCATCTACCCTCTCAAACCCCTTCAGAATCTAGGGTGGCACGGTGGCTCAGTGGCCAGCACTGTTGCCTCACAGCGCTAGGGACCCGAGTTCAATTCCATCCTCGGGCTCTGTTTGGAGTTTGCAGGTTCTCCCCGTGTCTGCATGGGTTTCCTCCAGGTGCTCTGGTTTCCTCCTACAGTCCAAAGATGTGCAGGGTATGTGGATTGGCCATGCTAAATTGTCTGTAGTGTTCAGGGATGTTTAGATTAGGTGGAAAAAAAACAAAAACAAAGTTGCTGGAATAGTTCAGCAGGTCTGGCAGCATCTGTGAAGGAGAAAACAGAGTTAATGTTTCGGGTCTGGTGACCCTTCCTCAGAACTGATAGTAGCTGGGAAAACGTCAGTTTATCGATTAGGTGGGATGGACATGGGAAATTAGGGGAATGGGAATGGGTCTGGGTGGGATGTTCTTCAGAGGGTGGTGTGGATTTGTTGGGCTGAATGGCCTGTTTTCACACTGTAGAGATTCTATGAATCTTGTATGTCTTAATGAAATTGCTATTTATTTGTGGGAACTCCAGTTTACACAACCTGTCATCATATAATTTCCCCTGATCCTAATGATCTGTGCAACAATTAGAGTCAAGAGCAGAGGAGCTTAGAGATGTACAAGACAGGACAGACCTTTTGGTCCAACTCCTCCATGCCGACCAGATATTCTAAATTAATCTAGTCCCATTTGCCAACATTTGGCCTGTATCCCTCTAAACCCTTCCTATCCATGTACCCATCCAGATGCCATTTAAATGTTGTAATTGTACCAGCCTCCACCACTTCCTCTGGCAGCTCATTCCATACACGCAACACCCTCTGCATTAAAAAGTTGCCCCTTAGATCCCTTTTAAATCTTTCCCACCCCATCTCACCTTAAATCTACACCCTTTAGTTCTGGACACCCCTACCCTGGGGAAAAGATCCTGTCTATTCACCCTATTCATGCCCCTCATGATTTTATAAACCTTTATAAGCCTGAAACGCTCTGGGGAAATAGCCCCAGCCTATTCAGCCTCTCCCTATAGCTCAAACCAATCAAGAACTAATGGCAAAGTATGAAATGGATATCAAAGTATTTATATATACTTTTAATACTGCTAAATTGTACAGCCCATTCGCTTAACGGTGATGATGGGGTCTGTGAAGCTGTACTTGTTAACCATTTGCAAATGTACAACAGGTTACTGCACTTTTACACCACAAATACTTTGTCTTACTTCTGTTGTGTTGGATGACATGGTTTGCTTCTCATGCTGCAGACAGGTTCAAGTCATGCATAATAATTGCTCAATAGTTTGTTCAGAAATCTAGAATTATTGAGCATTCCAAAAACTATTGACATTGAGCTGAATGTATGGATTATGTATTTTTTTACTTACTTGTGAATTGATCAAAAAATAATTCAATTTTTCACATCTGGTACGACACCTCACCATTACCATTGTCGATAGCAAATTTCATCCTGAAAAGCATTTTCTAATGTGTCTGAGGCAATTTTGCTTGTAGATAATAAACCAAGTTTTAAAGGCTTTCTAATCTGTCAGTGTTTTGTCTTTTATATTTGATGATGCTGATTTTTTTTTTCTGCTCCTGTTTCCAGGAATATTACAGGTGACGGATATCAGGACAGAGCGTGTTGAACAGAAGAGTGTTACCTTGGCATGGCAAGAGTCCGACTATTCCAGTGACAATGATACTGAATACGAGATCAAATACTATGAAAAGGTACTTTTGAGTGTCTACTCTGTGTAAGACACAACATGTTTGTAAGTAGGGAACATCAACTTGTTATAATCAACTTTGCTTCCATGTAAGAGAGTGGGTGAAAAAGGAGGATAATGCTTTTTCGAACTGGAATTCTGGGATGTTTGAATTCACAATGCTGTAGTAGGTGGTTGGGGACAGGGTGGAAGAATATTTTGCAGTTTGTAAGAAGATCAATTGGGATTTCCTGAATCTTAAACTGGAGGTTTGTAAACTCAGGATACTGCCTCACAAAGGAGCATTGTGTAGTATAATCCCAGTGGCAATCTCTTCTGCACCATTTGCATGGAACATCTAGTTAACTATTTTACAAATTGTTCCACAATTAGTTCGCACACAGAAACACACACTTCACTTTCACCCTCCAGATTTGTTAATCTTAAAGGGAAAATTGACGTTCAATCACTACAACAAATTGTCTGATCATTAGAACATTGCTGTTGAGATCTCGCTGTGTAGAAATTGGCTGCCAAGTTTCTGACATTATAAAATGACCATAGTTCAAAAGTGCTTCATTACTGGCAAAGTTTTGTGAGATGAGCTCAGGTCATGAAAGACATGATATCAATCTGCTGTTTTGGCTGTTTTATGTCGCTTTCTGTGATCTAATACACTTCTTTATTTATTTTGTTCAATGCAGTTGGAATACATTAGTTGCTGGGTTGTTGTGCATGTAAGGAATGTGTTTTTGTTGTAAATTGTGTATGAGTTCTTTAAATGTTAGCTATTGTCTGTTTACCATCATACCCTTTAAGTGCAGTTTCCCATTCACCTCAGCCCATTTGCTCCTCAAAGCTTCATTGGGTGCTTTGTTTAGATTTAATACTCTAGTTTCTAAATGAAGTACATCACTTTCAAATTTAATGCAAAATGCTGTCATATTATGGTCACTCATTCCACAGAGGTCCTTTACAACAAGATTATTAATTAACCCTTTCCCATTGCACAGTGATAGATTTAAAGGAATATGTTGGTTCCTCAGCATATTGTTCTATAAAATAATCTCACACACATTTCAAGAATTCAGCTTCCACGACATTAGTAATAATAGGTTTCCCCATTCTATCTGCAGCTGGGAAACCCTCATTATTACAGTAGTAGTCTTGTTAACTGCAACTCTGATTTCCTGGTTTATATTATGACCTACATAATCACTGCTATTTGCTGGTCTTTAGACCAGTCCCACAAATGTTTTCCACCTCATGTTGTTTTTTCATTCAGCCCAAACTGATTCCACATTTGAACTAAGGTCATCTCTCTCACTGCAGGATTAGTTCACAGAGCCGTTAAAGAGCCACCAGCTTTTTTTCCCTGATTGTCTGTCCTTCCTGATTGTCATGTGCCCATGTATATTCAAGTCCCACCTTTAGTTTCCCTGTAGCCACATCTCTGTCATGGCTCGTGCGTATAAATTTTTATATGAGCTGCCAATTCATCTGTTTTTTGGGGAATTCTATTAGTATTCAGGTGCAGAACTCATAATTGAGTATGTTTTACTGATTTTATGAACTCTAGCCCTATCTGCTAACACACTCTTAAATTTCCAGTCACCATTCCTTCTTGCCGTATCGTGATTATCATTACATTAATTGTTACTTTGATCTATTGCCTTGTTAGTTCATTTAATTTCCTCAATCATCCCCTACATGATCCCTTACTCTTCTATTTAGTTCATTTATGCAGATAGAATATGACAGTAAATGAGCAAGAAGCATAAAAATTGACTATAAAAGCTTCTATAGGATATGTATAAACTAAAAGATTAGCAAAAAATAAATGTGGGTCTATTACAAGCAGAATCAGGAAAATTTGAGAATGGGGAATAAGGGAGTGGCCAAGAGAAACAGAACAAATACTACTTTGTGTCTATTTTCACTGAGAACAGTATCAAAAATCTCCAAGAAATAATAGACAATCTAGGGACTAGTGTAGACAAGCGACTGTAATATTATTTTTAAGAAAGTTCAGAGAAAATCAGGAACAAAAGGTGGATTATCACTTGGATTTAATGATCTATATCCTAGAGTATTGATAGAGGTGGCTGGAAAGAACATAGATGCATTTATGATCATCTTTCAAAATTCTTTGAACTTTGGGATACCACCTGTAGTTTGGAAGTTGGCAAATGTAACCTCATTATTTAAGAAAGGATTGCTTAAAAAAGGATTTTGAATGAACCTCTCTGTAATGATTATCTCAAAGAAGATAAAAGAGCAAGTGTCAAAGTAACTGTAAATGCAGCATGGCCTACTGTACAAAGTTAAGCTGCATGGCCCTCAAAACATCTCGAGCTGCAGTATGAGTCAAGATAGGTCCTCTCCTGAGTAAGAGAGGAGGTCACTGATAAGTTCCCCACTGTAGGGTAACCAAATGATAAATCTTACACAAACTCTCAATGTGTATTCAAAGATCACAGATGATAGGCAGGTTGAAAAACAAAGCTTCTTAATCCATTTGCACCATTTTAGCGACAATATTAAGAACTTATCTTCAGATGGAGGCTGTTGATTCAAGGCCCCCATCCCAGAAACCTGAGCACATAATCAAACTGATGCACATAATCAAACAAAGTGGTATTGTCAAATTGGACCATTGTCTTTTGAGACCCTACCTGTCCTCCAGGGTAGACATAACGTTTCTGTGGCACTGGTTTGAAAATGAGTCAGGAAATTTTCTTTACATATCTTGGAAAATTCTTACCCCTCATCAACACACTAAAAACAGATCATACAGTGACCTATCACATTGTCCTTGCTGCGTATAAGGAGGCTTCCAATTTTGCTACATTACAATACACTTCAATAAGTATTTCATTGGATTTAAATCACTAGGAGATGTCCTGAGATTCTGCAAGGTGCTTTAAATCTTTGGAAACCCATGGTTAGGCCTCAGCCTGGGTACTAAGGATAATTTGGGCACCACACCAGGAAAAATGGATAAGGCATATTACCAGGATGATGCAGTACAGTTATAGCACAGGTTGGAAAAGCTAGTATTGTTCTCCTTGAAAGAGAGAAGGTTAAGAGATGTTTGAATGAAAAATTGTAAGATGATGAGGAATGACATTATAAAGATTTATAAAATTATGAGGGGCATGGATAAGGTGCATAGCCAAGATCTTTTTCCCAGGGTAGGAGAGTCCAAAACTAGAGGGCATAAGTTTAAGGTGAGAAGGCAAAGATACAAAAGGAACCTGGGGACAATGTTTTCACGCAGAGGGTGGTGTGTGTATAGAACAAGCTGCCAGAGGAGGTGGTGGAGGCTGGTACAATTACAACATTTAAAAGGCACCTGGATGGGTACATGAATAGGAAGGGTTTAGCAGGATATGAGCCATATGCTGGAAAATGGGACTAGATTAATTTTGAATATCTGGTCGGCATTGATGAGTTGGACTGAAGGGTCTGTCTCCATGCTGTAGAACTGTATGGGGAAAAATTATTCCCTCTGAGTGTGTGAAATAGAAGTCACAGATTTAAAAGCATTGAAAAAGTCTCAATGGGGAGACGAAGAGAACTTATTTTTTACTCGGAGGTGTCAGGATCTAGCAGTCTTTTTAAAATGATGGTGGAAGCTGATTCCATAAATTATTTTAAAAGGGCATTGATAGGTTTTAGGCTGAAGAACTGATATAGTTACAGCTAAAATGTAAGGGCTATAAGAACAAATGGGAATGTTCACTCGATGAGCTAGTACACGAATGCTAGGCAAAATAGCTTCCTCTACTCCTGTAAACATCATGCATTCTGTTTAAATAAAAGCCTTTGGTATGCATCTAGTATTAAAGCTGCCCTTTGGTAGTGTACGCATAAGTGTCCCTTTGAGTAGCAGGTGATCATTAAAATCTTGCTGTGCTGCTTGAGGTTATTTCACAGCTGAGCTCTTGCTGGTTTCTTTCAAAGGTTGTCTTTTCTTCCTGAATTTAGCTAACAAGGCACGTAGAGTTAACTTCTTCTGTTAACTTTTGCACTATTACTTTATGAGAGCTTGAAGTCTTTTATGCTATTAAGACTTTTATGCTGTTGATCTAAGCTTGCTGTTTACTTTGAATAACCTTCTCAGGCATCAAATTTCTTTCAAACACTGAAGATGCAGCTTTTACAAATTGTAAAGGACCATGCAGAGGGTCCCCCTCGGAGACCCTAACCAATCAGAAGTTATTTTCATTATGTAGATCCCTCTGAAGTAGCAAAACTGTCATGGGCAATTGTCAAGAGCCTTTCAATGAGACAATGAACAGTCAAGGAGACTTCATGCGCATCAACCTAAATTATAAAACTGACTAGTTACTGGTTCCAATTCAAGATCCAAGTTCGTCTGACCCAGTGAAGAACACGCCAGTCTTTGATTCACTCCATTTGTCTCTTCATGTTAAAACAAATCTTGTTATATGAAGAGTAAATTGTCTAGAGAAGGAATTACCGCAGGGTACACAGAAAAAATTCACTAAGATTCCTTAGTTAGCGTCTTTCAAACCCATGACCTCTACCACTCGAAGGACAAGGACAGCAGATACATGAATACTCCAATGCCTTCAAGTTCCTCTTAAAGCCAGTCACCGTCCTGACTTGGAAATATATCACTATTCTTCAGTGTCGCTGAACTGAAATCTGGGAACTCCATCCCTAACAACATTATGCGTCTGCCTACACTAAATGGATTGCAGTGGCTCAAGAAGACAGCTCACCACCACCTTCTCAAGTGGAATTAGTGATGGGCAATAAATTAGGGATCTAGGAGAATTAGGGATAGGCAATAAATGTTGGCTCAACCAGTGATGCTTACATCCCATGAATGAATAAGAAAACATATAAAGTACCCATATCTTGTCACCCATTGTGTGAGAGTATGCAGCATATAGTTACCTTTTATTTGGAAAATCAATTGCACGAAGCCCCTTTATGATATCAGTGTTTCAGGGATTCAGTTGTAGCTGGAGTTGGTGTCTCATTGAATGTTAA